CTGTCTGTTTCTATGTAATCTAGTATATATGTATATCTGAATCGGCAGCTCCTAGTGTAGAACATTTTCCAGCTTTTCAAAATATCTTGACCGTTTCACCAAGAGCTACTCAATTCTTCTAATAGATTTGCAAAACCCTATCAAATGGAATTTTTGATAAATCTGCCGTTCAAAATCATTTCTGATCCACGATCCAGCTGAAAGCTAAAGTCATATATAAAATCAATTTGCTAAAATATATATAGACTATCTAAAGACTTCGCTAGGCATTTTTGGCACTCTTGATTCGCAAATGTATCTCATAACTTGCGAATTTAGGTTGTATTTTTGCTCTAAATTGATCTATGAATGAACACACACACCAATTTGTTAATAATGAAATGAAATAATGAAATGAAAATATGTATTTTGATTTTTACATTTCCGTCGAAAGCAAAAACCCGCATCAAAATCTGAGCTGATGAGATACAAGAGGCTATGGACCATTCAATTTTCTATCCATTTAATTTGATTATTATTTATTGAATGCAAGTTTTTCAGGGGTTTATTTGGCCAAACACTAGAAATTGGAGAGCAATTTGGCTGGCAGAGAGAAGTCTCTTGCTCGTGTACATCAAAATCGAGTCATCGGACTGGGAAGGCTTTTCGCAAAGGCTGTTCGCTTTAACCGTAAGAACATTTACACAGTCGAGCACAGTTGTGAATGCAAATGGTATAGCTAGTTTAGTTCGGATAAAAATCATTGTTATCTAATATGCCAGTGCAACGGCAGCTGTGGATAAGGTTAATGCAATTGACTTTTTGCATGCAACCTTTTATTGCTGCTGTTGACTCTCTAATTGATATGCTTGACGCGCCTGACATAGCGGCAGGAGAAACCAGACACACAACCAAATCCAAATCCCAGCCCAAAGACAAATGTCATCGGCATGGTTGGTTGTCATCGGATGTCAATGCCAGACCAGGCCAGACCAGGCCAGGCCAAGCTGTGGACTGGCTCCTGCTCCCTTCAGCTGTCCGGTTCAGTTAGTCCGGGGCTGGGCCATAACAGTCCGACAGTTTTGCCTGCCAAATGCACAGCAGCAATTGCAACCAACAACAGCAGTCAGCAGTGTTCAGCAGTTCAGCCATTTTATAGCTAAACTTGGCTATTTACAGAGGTTGTCAGTCGAAAAAAAAAAAAACTATTGATTTGCATATGCCCTCAATCCCGGCTATTGGAAAATAACAGTTTGTTGCTATTGCGGATACAATAGGACGTATGTATGTAGCTCATAGTCAGCTACTTTTAGCTATTTTCAACATTCGATTTAGCTAGTCTTTTTTGAGGCAACAGTTGGCAACACTGGCACTCATAGATAATGCACATTGAAGTGCTTTGTTCGTCTTGCATCAAATTACGTTGTCGTTTTTGTTGTTGTAGTCACAGTCGCAGTCGCAGTTGTTGTTGCTGTTGCTGTCATCTTTGTCATTGTCAGTGTCATTATCGTCTGCAACTGATTAGTCAGCAGGTTTTCCAGGCGTTCGCATTGGGGCATTTATCGTGTGCTCCAGACATATGAATGAAACAATAGACATTGCCCAAAGGGATAGAGTTATGCTTAAATATAGATAGATAGAAACAAAGTGTGTGAGAGAGAGAGAGAGAGAGAGAGAGAGAGAGAGGAAGGGAGACAGAGTCAAAGTCTGCTGATGATAGTTTAAATCGGCAGGAATAGACATACACTTGTTTTGTTGTAGCTTGTTGTTTGTTAGTTATTCAAATAATATCCTGGCATGACCTAGGGCCAACTATACCCTGTACCATTTGCAACTGAGTCTCCACAAAGTACATACAGTCTTGATTGGAACGACGGGTTCAGTTTATCTAGCCATGGCTGTCCCTTAGTCTATTCGAAAGTCAGATGTATATATATATATTCTCGTTTACCAAATGTGGTTCGAGTTTTCCACACTGACGATAAATATCGAGAATATTGAGAATATCCAGACTTGTCTCCTATACTCCTGTAGAGAGTGCTATGATTTTGTCCTAAAATGTCTAACGCATAGAAGAAGGAGGCATCTTCGACCCCATCAAGTATGTATATATATTAAAGATTAGCATCGACAGCCGAGTTGAAATAATCGTGTCCGTCTGCCCGTCTGTCTGTCTGTCAATCCGTCCGTCAGTTTTTATACGAACTATTCTCTCAGGGATGGAAATCAAAAACAACATACAGTATTATGGATGCTTAAAAGAGTATCTCCTAATTAAGATGGCAATTTGATCTATTCTGTAACAGGCTTTTGAATCTCTTTCCTATCCATGCATTGTGAATAATTCCCATCGAATCAGAAAATAAACCAAGAAAGAGAGTGGAGACATTTTGTACCCAGATCTTAATCCTATAATAAAGACTTCTCTTTATAAAGATGTTTTTTCGTGTCTCAATCACAGTTCTTAGGATTCGCAACTAGGACATTCATTGTGAATTCTGGCTAATTTAAGATTAAAGAAAACAGCTGAGATATGATTGATGGATAGATACAAAGCTTAAAGTGTGGTAAATCGCAGTATAGCTGTGATACCTGACTTGGCCAATCTTAAATTTATCTTTTTGAGCAACAAGTGGAAAAGCTTTCAAGGAAAATCGATTTAAAAATTTAAAAATATTCAGCACAGGGTGTGGAAAATAACTCGTTAATTAATAACGAGCATAAAATGAGAGCGCGCGTGGCGTTGAGCCTTAGGTAACGGGCAAAGGGTGTGGGGGTAGTGGGTGGTGGGGACGGAGGCGGGGGCGGGGGCGGGGGCGGTTGATGGCTCTAGTTTGCGGCTTGCGCGGTATTAGACACTGATGGGCGGACTGCAGGCGAAATCACAACAGAGCCAAAGGCAGACAACAGAAGCCTGGACAAGGACACACCACACCACACACACACACACACACACACACACACACACACATACACATATATATGTATATATATAGACAGATACCTGCAGAGAACGCTGCGAAAATTGTGTGAAAAATATGTGCGTTAGCCAAAGGCGAAGCGCGATTGCAAAATGAGTTTGAGAAGCAGGGCGAGGTTGAGGACGTAAACGTGGGCGAGGACAAACCAGCCAGCTGGAAAAACCAGAGAGCCAACCAAGTAAATAAATAAGCAGTCATAAAAACAACGTGCACACACACAGACGCAGACATAGACACATGTGCTGCGCTGGGGTATTTCCATGGCGCACATGATTTCCATTCGGAGAGGCAGGACAAGGATGCGAATGCGATTGCAGGAAGTTCCGGAGCTGGCGAAACGGTAATAAATGCTTGGCAAATAGAGAAACAAACAAACAAACAAACAAATAAACAAACAAACAAACAAACCAACAAACACACATACACACGCACAACAAATCGCATGCGTTTGGCAAGCACTGAGCTGCACAGTTGGCAAGCAACTGGACTCTGGCCAATGGCCCACATTCAGAAATTTGGACATTTTTTGACACTTTTCAATTAATAAGCTGCACTCTGGGCTCTAGTTGACTGTCTTCAAATAAAATAACTAATATTATAAGCACAGAAGCAGGCAACAACTATGCAGATAAATTCTAGATATTTCTTAGATAAACAGAGAGCAGCAAATGCTCGCTATGCGATACGCATATTATGTTTTGCAAACGTGACATTATTAGACTGCTTGGCTTAGTGGCCTGAACTAGCAAACAAGAAGTCGGCGGTTCAATTTTCGATATTTGTTATCAGGCACAAAAAGCAATAACAATCATCTGGACACAATAGCCGCATGCCACATTTGAAATGGGTTTGATAACTAATAGATTATGTTTGGGACGTGAGCATGATGAATGTCTAGAGTCTGGACGCGTGGTGGCCATTAGCCTGGATCTGTTTTGCCTGATGTTGGCGCGAATCGGACAAACGATGCCATTTGCAATGTCAGTCTGTCTATATATGTGTCTACATCCATTAAACGGCGTTGCTTGTGTTCTATTCTTATTATGTCAAATGAAGAAATTGATTGAAAAGCAAAGCGCACGCAAAGCACGAAGTGCTTGTTTGAAAATAGAATTTCATATATTTTCTAGCAAGCAATCATAGTTGCTGTCTTAAGCGTAAGACTTTTTAAATTATGGCATTGGACAAGCTCGTTTTTCTAGCACGGTCCGAGCTGTCCATTATGCACCATTGTGAACGGGCCATACACTGTGACGCCTGTTGCGTATGCAACACATTTTTGTTGTTCAGCTCCGGCACAGTGGCTGCTCAACTGTGCCGACTGTGAGGGCGATTCTTTAAATATCGCATATATTTATGGAAAACTCAAGGGCTATGCACATCAGGACCGTATGCACATAATAAAGGGAAAATTACAATTGCGGAAGCATGGCTGGTTTGAGCTGCAAACAGAGTTTTGCGCGGTTGCAGGTTGCATCAGTTGCCACTTGTTTCTTATACCCTGTACTCATTTTAAATGGGTAAAAGCACTAGAATGTATTTGTGCAAATGTATATAACAGGCAGGAGAAATCATCTCCAAACTGTATACATTCTTAAGCAGCATCCATAGCCAAGTCGATGTAGCCATGTTTCCCTGTCCGTTCGTCCGTCCGTCCGTCCGTCCGTTCGTCCGTCCGTATGTGTAAACGCAGGGATCTCAGAGCCTATAAGATCTAGAGACTTGAAATTGAAATTGAACGTAGATCACCCAAGTGCCCGGGCGGTACTAGTTTCCGATAACCGATAGCTTGCCCCGTTTCCAAGCAGTCGATACAAATCGATATCGAAATCCTGTTTTGTCAGCAAATCTCTTATGTTTTAAGAGCTAGATTCACCAAACTTGACTGGAACTTAAACTTGGGTTCACGAATGAATAAAACTAGGCTCAGGTTGCATGAAACTCTTTGGTTTTTCACGGACTTCAAGTTTAAGGATCTATTTGACTGAAAGTTGGAACCATTTCGAAAGAATTTTAGGTTAGTTTCTTTTTGGGGCTTACCTCGATTCTTGACGCAGCAATTGATCACCAAGTAAGAGTTCAGTTCTTCCTTTTGATATGCTACTTGTGGGACTGTGTTGCTGTTGCAGCTGTTGTTGTTGTTGTAGTTGTTGCTGCTGCAGGTCAAAGGCGGCTGCGGTGCTGAGCAACTGTTGCTGGCTGCCGATGATGTTGCTGCTGCTAGTTCCAGCTATTGGTGGTGCTGTTGCAGTTGTGTTATATGGCAGGCCGAGGCAATCGTCGGACTGATGCACAATGACGTCATCGTTAAGCGTAGTTAGTAACTAAGAGGGCGACAACGAGAGAGAGAGAGCGAGAGAGAGAGAAAGAGAGAGAGAGAGAGAGAGTGAGACAATATTGTTTGCTAACCTACGTGTATAATAAAATATAAGTCAAGAAGAAATACTGTCGAAATCAGGCAAACCAAATGAAACGAAACGAAACGAAACGAAACGAAATGAAACGATACGAAAGAAACACATGCCACACAATATTGCTTGTCGCATGTTGCCCGTTGCTGGCAACGACAACAACGAGAACAACAGTTGTCGCCCGCTCACCTCTCGTCTCGGTGGATACAAATTATTCGATATTAGTAGATCACAATTTTTCATAGCGGACGTCCCAATGTTGCTGATGATGTTGCTGCTGCTGCTGTTGTTGATGTTGATGTTGATGTTGCCTGATGTGATGCAATTATTGCTATTATTGTTGTTGCTTAAAAGTAAATGCTGCTGCTGCTGCTGCTGCTGCTGCTGCTGCTGCAAGTGGCCAGCGATGTTGCTGCTGTGGCCGTGTTGCTGCAGATCCGCAAACGCCTGTTGCAGCTGTCCGCTGGATATGGCCGTCGAATACTCTGTTTTTGGCGTTGTTGTCCCATGCGCATGACCGTGTCCATGCATTGGCAATGCAATATCTGCCACTGTTACAATCGTTGTTGCCCCGCCGCCTCCCGCTGATCCTGCTGCTGCTGCTGTTACTGCTGCTGTTGCTGCCAGCGGCGATGTTGAAGTTTGCGCATCCACAAAGTGGGCACCGCCAACACCAGCACCAGCACCAGCACCAGCAGCAACAGCAGCAGCACCAGCAACAGCATCGCTGCCCAGCTGCAGCGGCAACGGTCTGGACTGTAACTGCGTCAGCGATTGTCGCTGTTGATGGATCGCCGCAGTTGTTGCCAGCGTGGCGGCTGCAGCGGGCAACGTTGTTGTTGCTGGTAGCGTTGTTGTCGGCAGCTGGGCGTGCTTGTTGTTGTAGCTGATGTAGGTAATGCCGCAATAGTTGGCACCATCGACATCATCGTCATCGTCCATGTCGTCGTCGTCCACCTCCTCGGCCAGATGCTGCAAACTGGTGGCCAGCAGGGATTTCGCCTGCAGCGGCTTCCCAGCGGCAGCAGCCGCCGCCAATTGTTGCTGCAGCTGCTGCAACTGTTGTTGCTGTGCCTGGCTGGTCTGATAGATGTGCCCCGTGGCGCTGCTTGTCTTGTTACCGCCGCCGCCGCTGCCGCTCGCTGCTGGCGGCTGCTTGAGCGCTGCCGCTGCTGCTGCTGCTGTCGCGCTGACAATTGCCGCCGTCGTTGAGCTGCTCGCACTGCGCTCCGCACTTGCAGCTGCTGCTGCTGCTGTTGCCGCTGCAACCGCGGCGCTCACCAGAGCCGCCGAAGGCGCTGCAGTCGGCGTCGACATTGTCGCCGTCGCTGTGGTGGGCACCAGCGAGGGGGCGCTAATGGGCCCGCCGGCGGTGGCCGTTGTCATTGTGGCGCTGCTGCAGGTGATTTGATTGCTGCTAAATGACGTCACATAGATGGGCGTTGAGTCGTTCAGGAAGCTCAAGTCCTGTTTTTGGCTGGTGACGGTGCCGCTTTTCGTTTGCTGCAGCTGCGTGTGGCAAGTGGAAGCGATGACAGCAATCGGAATGAGGAGGCGATGAATGGTAGGCAGAGATTGAGAAAAGAAAATGCAGTGAATGAGACCAAAACAGTGGGTAAAATTAGAGAGAGAGAGAGAGAGAGAGAGTGCAAAATAGACAAAGTAAGAGAGAGAGAGAGAGAGAGAGAGAGAGAGAGAGAGAGAGTGAGATCAATCATTGAAAATACGTATCGTTAATCGTTTTATCGTTTTGTAGAGATTTGCATTATTTTTATCGATTGAAGCAATATAACAATTGACAAATGAATTTAATTGAGGATAATTATATATACATATATATTATATATATATATATATATATATATATATATAGCTTCAATTACTAAGCGGATCGATAAATATCGATAACAAATCCAAAAGCCTCCGTTGTCGGCTGCTTCGATGCTTATTAATAGCATTGCTTAATCGAAATGTCAGAAGTCCTATTTTGTTCTGTCTATAGTCAAAATAAAAAATGGTTTAAGGCTCGACAGAGAATTGATGGAATATCCAAACCAATGAATAAGCAAATAAATAGCTATAATAAATAAACAAAATATCATTTATAAAATAGGTGAAAAAGGTTTTAATATGTTACTCCAAATAAGTGAAACAGGCAAAAGCGAAATCTTCGACCGATGTTTATATATACTTGATCAAGTTAAGCAGCTTACTCGATATATCATTGCTGAACTTAGAGTTCATATATTACTTCAAATATGGTATCATAAGCAAATTCAGAGTATTTTCCGATTTCCCCGTTCCCAAAATACAGTTTCGTTTGCTTGCACATATTGCAGGTCTTATAGGATCTGCAGACATCAGATTCTGCCACGCGTTTTTTTTTTTAAATTCTACATGCAAAAACTAGTTCCAAATTAAATTTCCATATTATGAGGCTGAGAGATGAAGCAGCCGCTGCCCAATTGTATGCACATGTGTATAAGAAAGTGCGAAGTCGAGTACCACATATTTGCTTGTCAACTTGGCACTCTTACATATTTTCCAGTGACAATGCTATAGATGCTGCGATGGGCTCTTAACTATTTACAGGCTTTAAATATGCTGAAAGGCTCCAGTCGCATATGCAAATCAATCAAATTGCATTAAAGTGAAGCCAGTCAAAACAAGCCAAGCGCAAAAATGCCTGGGCCCGAAGTTTGGGTTAGCCCGATATAATTTAAAAACATACTTATACAGTAAACGCCCGCTATAAAGATTGAACCTCGATGAAATTGGAGTGAGAGATACATTTGATGCGCATAATATAATAAGGCTATCCAACAAGATTGGGTTAATCTATGTATGGCAGAATTCTCTTAAAATTAGATGGGCTTGTGTATATTTTCGAATCACTTGTGTAAGCTAATGCTGTAATATCATCTAGAAGTAAAACTATTTAAATTATCCTTTTGTTTTTTTAAGAATATAATACTGATTTTCTTTATACTTTCGACTTTTTTTATGCTTTATACTTTTTTCACTTTTGTAAGAAGCCACTGCAATGGAACCGAATGGCATGAAACAAACAGGGGGCTTTCAAAAAAGTATGTTATCTTAACATTTTCATTCATAAGGTCTAATAGTCTAAGGGAGTATTTGGAAACAGAACAAGCTGTATCTAGCTTAAGCAGTTTTACACTTACGTGTGTGTGCTCTTCAATGTTTGCCAGTGTCAAATGTTGGCGAGTGTTTACTGTAGCATTTAGACGCCTTTGTTGACCATGCGTAGGTGCGCCAATTTCTCTGTCTGGCTACGTGGGCTGCTAACAAAAGGCGGGCTCAGTCGCTGAGTTTGCCGCAGCGGCCGCACCCCGACGCGTTGCAAGCATAACTGAGCAATTAGCCTGTGCCGGCACAGTTGCCGTCAAACTGTATGCCAGTGACAAATTCCCAAGCCAAGCTGGCAATCAAGCAAATCTCTGACTCAAACGTGTTGTTGCTTTCAATTGCCCAAATAGCATTAGAGCAGCGCTCAATGGCGCTCAGCTCGCTAATCTGATGAGCATCAGCATCGGCATCGGCATCGGCATCGATATCGGAATCGGAATCGCTTCCACTCTCATCTCCCCGCAGCAGCTGCCAGCAACAGGTGGCAGCCACAGCTGCTAAGTTGGAAGTTGCCCAGCCACGCGGATGCAATTACCAGTACATATATGAGTACCACATATATAAGCCACCCAGATATATATATGTACATATTGTTTATATATAAATGCGTGTATATAGTTTTATATATAGATATATGTATATGTGCCCGTTGGCTTCAACAAAATGCTTCACGCTTCGTGCACATTCCACTTGTGCGTTCAATTGCTGCGACTCTCAGACCAATCCATTCATGTGCCCAACCCACAATATTCAACCCACCTCAGTTAACATCCCATCCTGGTGGGCCCCACCCCGCACGACTACTCGTTGTCATCAACGTCGCCGTTTCATTCATTCATTCATTCAGCTTTTCTTCTTTTTTTTTTTGTCCTCTCATCCACATTTTATCGGATTATTGACAGTGAAGACGAGCCGGTGGCTCCGCATGCGTCGGGGTCCTCTATCAAGCGGTGCGTGTGTGGAGTGGCTGGCTCATCATTTGGTATCAGAGCAGGATTCAGCAGCCAGGACCCAGCACCCAGCACCCATCAACCGGCACACAGCATCCAGGACCAAGTACTCAGGCTCTTATTCTGTCGATCTGCTCAAAGAGGCTGCACTTAAACACTTATCGCACTTAAAATCATTGGTTTGGTTTGGTTCGTTTGGGTTGGGTTGGATTGGGATGGGCTCGGTTCGGTTCAGTTGGCCTGGCAATAGCCTATTGACTAGACTTCATTTTGATAGCTTTGGCTACAGTAATCTGTCGCAAAAACCACCGAGCATCCAGCCGACAGCACCGAGAGCCCGAACGCCACTCCAGAAATGGAAGGCAATGTCCCTTGAGGCAAAACCAAACACAAGTTTCTCTAACGAAAACTGTGAATAGGAGAGGGACAAAATAAGGAGGAAGGAGGAGCATTTACTCTTAGTGATTGATGGATGACTCAACTATTTCGAATGACTGGAGGTTATCTGCCGAATGCGTAATTCGATATATAAATCAATTATTATTCCAACAGTTATGAATTCCCCGCACGAGTGTTTTTATATCCTGAACCCATTGAAAATGGTTAAAAAGGGTATAATGTTTTTGTGCATATGTATGTAACCGGCAGAGGGAAGCATCTCCGACCCCATAAAGTATATTTATTCTTGATCAGCATCAATAGCCGAGTTGAATTAGCCTTGTCCGTCCGTCTGTCTGTCTGTCTGTCCAAGAGCAAGAGACTTGAAATTTTAGCTGTAGGTCCGCCTAGTGCCTGCCCTCCTAGTGCCTGCCTTCCTAGTGTCTGCTAGAGTCACCAAACTTTATGTGTTGCTTTTAGAATATTATATACATATGTATATATATATCAAGTATCTTTCATTTTATACCTATAGCCACCTCCCCGCTACCACAGCAGAGCTATAAATCAAGTTAATAACTCAACTTGTATTGCCAGCCAATTTAAGCCACAATTTAAATGCAATTGACTTTTTGAGAATACACAAATATTCTATGGTGCAATAAGATATACTGTAGAAAATGTCATTAATTGCGCATGTGTTAGCAAATTCCAAGAATTTCTGTATTCTTGTATTTATTCTTCGAATTCTATAAACAGCATGGCGATTACGATTGTTTTTTGTGCTGCTATTTAATTCATTTTTTTGTCAATGAGACTCAATTATTGGTGTGGATGTTGAGTAGAGCCAGTGGCAAGCGGTGCGGTCTGTCGCGAGTTCGAACCCAGCCAAGGGAACTTTTTTTTTATTTTTCTTAATTACTTCAAACGAGCGCGTAGCGCAAGCTGCATTTTGTGTTGGAATAAGAGGGTTCAGGGTACTCCCTAGTCCGGAGCTCCCGACTAGAACCTCCTACTTGATTTTTTATAAAAACAATTATAAGTGTACTTGTCAAACAAATAACTGTGTTGCAAAAGTTATTACAATAAAAAGTGTTGTGTAAGTTGTCGTTTGTAAAGCAATTAAGTGTTGCAAGAGCTGTTATTTACAAATCAGTGAAGTTTTGTAAAAATTCTCCTTTTATAAATTAAATTAAGTGTTGAGTTAATTTTTATTTGCAAGACCAAAGAAAGTTTTGTATAGATATCAATTATTAAACTTTTAAGTATGTTGAAATAATTTTTTTAAAATTGTCATTTATAGTAATTTAATTTAATTTTTTAATTTCTTTTTAATTTTTAAAGCAGTGAAGTTTTGTAAAAATTTTCATTTATAAATCAAATTAAGTGTTGTACAAGATGGTATTTACCAAAACAATTAGGTATTGTATTGTATTAGGTATTGTTGTTATTTGACAAACAATAAAAAGTGTGTTTGAAGGGATGCTATTTATAAGACAGTGTAGAGTGTTGCATAAGTTGTTATTAATAAAATATTTCACTGCGCTGAAAATGGTCAATTATGTAAAAAAATAAAATTAAAATGAAACAACTTTTATAATTAATAATAAAGTAATATAGAAATTATATAATTAACAAGTTGTAATTAATAAACAATAATAAGTTGTTATCTAGAAAAACAATTAGGTGTTGTACAAGTTATTATTAAACCAACATTCAACAGTGTTGTAAAAGTTGTGATTTATAAAAAAAGATTGAGTGCTGTACAAGTGGTTATTTTGCGAAATTTAAATGTGTTATAAAGGTTGTAAGTGGTAAAACATTTGATGGTGTTGAATAAGTTGTTATTTGTAAAATTTGTCATGGTCTTAAATTTGACATTTATAAAGTGTTACATTAGTAATTATTTAATTGAATTTTATTTTTGCGTTTGCATTTTATGCGCTCATTATTTCCAAAAGTTATCTACTTGAATGTGTTTATTGAGCCTTAAAAGCAATTAAAATTTCATTAAAATACATAAATAATCAAATATAAAACCACTTGTGAAATACTCTTAAGTTTTTACAAATGATTTTGGAACTCTTTTCAAAGTTACGCAATGAGTTACATATGTATTACTTTAATCTATTGTTTATCCCAAATATAATATATGCATGTGTAATTAGACGCAAAAGGCATTTGAATGGAAACTGGCAATTAAAAAACAAATCATAGCATTGCAGTCGTATGTAACCGACTGCGAAATACTCTGTATGCAGAGATTAAATCAATCAAAGAGAGTCTTTCCAATAATTGCCTGAGTCTAAAACTATCGATTTGCACAACTTGCTGGGAAACACTTTTTAATTCCTTTTGAAGCGCGGATAAAATGAAGTAAATAAGTGCGTTCATGCCAGCAGCTGGACGGACTTTGCACAAAATCAATATGCTCGTTTTCACTTTGTAAGCTGAGTAAAAAAACACTTTTCATGCGCAAATTCGCACACAAGCTTCATTTGAGCATTTATTCGCAGCTGTCAAGCGCATGCACACACACAAACAAGCACACCCCCCTACACACACACACCCTACACACACACACACACACACACACACACACACTAGCTGTGGAACTGAGCTCATTTTCAATTACCCACACAACTCGAGTTTGAGTTGCCGTCATAGTTTTTAAAAATGGTTTTAAAAAAGGGTACGCGGAGGTCGTGCAAGTGTATGCGACAGGCTTTTAAAGCCACTTCTGAACCCGCCAATCAACTATCAAGAGTTGATCGTACTAGGAACAGACAGATAGATGCCTGGATATGCTATACACAGATCCAGAATATTTCACATTTTGTCTATGACATACTCTTGTTCTCTCTGAATTAGAAAAGCAAACCCAGCCAGAGCATTGCGCTTGGGTATATGCATACATTTGGGTGTCATGTTCAGATCCCAGAGCAAAATTCCACAAGGATCAGACTTTAAAGACCGAAGCTATTTAAGAATGCATTCCTCATAGTGTGCGGCTAAATGAAGAAGAAGAAGCACAACAGGTGCGTAAAGTGCGCCTTTGTCTGTGATTTTGCTTCTGTTTTTGTGGATGTCGGCATGAGAGGAAGTTTGAATATTTGCATCGACAGCTCGGCACAGGTTCCAGGATACAGGGTATCCCCAATTCGACTGGTTTGATATTTATAAACATTTTGCAACTTTGTTAGTTACGAATATTTTCAATGCTATCTACTCAGGTCTTAGTAAGATACATCTATTTCCACCCCAGAAGGTATATCGTCTGAACAGAGCGTTGGAATTCAAGAAGTATTTGCCAGAAGATACTATACTATAAAAATATATGTTTTGTTATAATTGACTTCGGCGAAACAAAACTTTAAAATTGAAAATCAAAGCCTAGGCGCAGCGCTGGTTCAAACCGTGAATCGAACCAGCAACAATCTTTTGCAGATTATGACAGGCATCATTATGAAGTCCAAGCCAGGTACAGGGTATCTAAGAGGCGGGCACTTGCAACTGGAATACTTGCAGTTATTTTTTCAGTTACTTTGTGTATTCCGCCTTCTATTTTTAGTACTTCCTTTTGTTTCACTTTTAGCTTTTATTTTGTTTTTCGTATGACTTTTGCATTTGTATTTTTTTTGTTTTGTTATTTTGCTTTGTTTTGTTTTGTGCTCTGTTTGTTGAATTTTTAATTGAATTGGCGACTTTTCCCATCCTTTGCCAGTGCTCCGGACTGCTACAATGGTCAGTCGGAATGCCGCCGGGGCCAAAAGGAGCTGCTCTGCTCGAGCAGGCAGGGTTTCCACCTGGTTTCTTCGTTTATACCAAATGCCATTTGTGCGTGTGCGAGTGTGTGTGTGCGTGTGTTTGTATGTGTGTGTGCGCTCGTGTGCTATAAAACTGCAGCACAAAATTCAATTCAATTTCAATTTTTTCTTTAAATCTGTGAGAAAATGTTTGCACCTTAAAGTTGAGGCTCGGTTCGCCTCACATTCAAAATGAACTCGATTGCTTTCAGTTTCGGTTTGGCTAAAGAAAATCGTTTTAGATAAGTTGGGGCACGTTCTTGCTAGAGTTGGGTGTCTGTGGTGCTTTCCTGCGTGACACGAATCAGAAAGACCAAGCACGAAGAGCACGTGAATAATATGCTCTATAAGTTTGTCACGCATATATATATATATTTAATTATCTTGAAGAGCTTTATTTGGCACGGATTGCCCCTTTTGGAGCAATATGGTCTAGTAGTCCGATGTCAATAAGATTTTTTGGCATTCGCACATAAATGCCAAGTTTGGTTAAAATACCTAAAGAAGCGAAAAGTTGTCCATGGAATAATTAAATATTTAACTAATCATCCCTGTAGCAACAATCTGATATAGTGATTCGATCCGATACCGATACACACATATTGACAGATAGAAACCGACAAACAAACATGGGCATATCATCTCGGCTGTTGATACTGATCGAGAATCTATATAATTTATAGGACCAGCTATGTCTGGTATACAAATAATAATATAATACTTTCTTAAAGGCAAGAAATCTCTAATAAGGCCCATAGCCCAAATCCATTATATAAACCTAAATGGATATTCATTCACAAGATAGTTATATACGAAAAAATATCGAAAATTGATCTAATATTTTCGGGACAGATAATTGATTGAAGATGAAATAGAAATCAAATTAAAACTTGAATTTGAAGCTCTCAACTAGTTATGCAAAATAAGGAAATTATTAAAATCTTTCAATCAATATTAATCATATTAGAGATAATAATATTTGCTGTATAAACTTAAAAAAATTGTAAATTTGAAAGAATAGATTTTGGTAGATATGTTTAAAAATTGGTATTCCATAGTTAAGTTCTTAAGACTGTCCGCATACGATCGATTAGGTAGTCAAAACATGATATTGAATTGCAAATAACCCACAGAACGGGCGGCAATTACCAATATGTGAGTGTATGCCAAGAAGTACTCTGGCTGGAACTTACCTTTTTGGAAAGCTGTGTTATATCCACGGGCGTAACGCGATTCAGGGCCGCCAAGCGCTGCAGACGTTCCCGCGCGTGCTCCTCCACGGCGATGACAAACGCGTCCTGCACGGAGTTGCCAATATCCCACGCTGCTTGAAATAAGTAGACAGAGCGAGAGAGAGAGAGGGAGAAAGAGCATGAGTAAGTGAATGAGAACACGTCGGAAATGATTTATGAGCTAAAAGCTTTGGTGATGCTGCCACTGTCAGGCAACCAACCCGCCAACCACAAGAGCAGCAGCGGCAACAACATGGTGTGTGCCACAAACAACGAAAAAGCTCGAAAAACATTTAAAAAAAAACACACACACACACACGTGCAGTAAAACCCCAAAATGTGCGACACAATGTCCGTAATTGTAAAGCTTTGTAAAAGTAGATTGCATGTTGATGTACACATCAATTGAGGTATTTCATCTTTTCATTTTTATGTAGTATACATTTAACTCTATGTTTCGAACAAACGTTGGGCTTGTGAATTCAATTCGCAACAATGAAAATCGAACTTTTGCAGCTAGACTGAGTTCTGTTTAAATATGTAAAGCCTAGTCGCATGCATTGAACATGGGTAAGAAGGGTATATGGGTTCTGGGCAAATGCATGTAACGACGCCATAAATCATACATATTCTCGATCAGGAGGATCGAGCTGAGTGGATCTATTCATCCGTCCGTCTATCCATCCGACAGTCTGTGCAGAAACTACAAAAGCTGAAGACAGAAAGTGTGAAACATTTCAACAGGGTGTCTGTTGGTCGGATATTCCTACTAGAGAACTCTTACCTGCAATTTTTAATTTTGCGAATTTCACACACAAACAAACTGTCATTAAAGCGGGAAACGATTGTGTTGCAATCACATCAAATTTGAAAGTGTAATTTCGACTTTTATATGTATGTACATACACCCATGGTCAAATTGATAGAAAAGCAAATAATTTGTTTGGAATTTATGAAATACAAATTATTGTCGAGCCTAAACTCAAACATAGTTTTGCTGCTATATTAATGCATACAATGAATATGTACATGCATGTACATTATTCAGTTTCAATTATTTGCATTGCCAATGATATATACATGCTCATATCTAGGTACATATGTGAATATGTGTGTGAATTCATTCAGTTAAATGTCCGTCACCCACAATTTTAGAGCTGGCTTTTGGAGTGACCAAATTTGGAATGAATGTCAGAACGTGAACTTCTCTAAAGAACGAACCAAAAATGTTTTACGTACGCGCAGGCGGGGACTGAACATGAAAATAGATCGATTTCCCTGGTTTAAGGTTCGGTTAGTAAACCCTGCTTATTATGACTTTTTTGAATTATGGATGGAACAGGCTAACAGTAAAGTGATCCCAATCTGGAGCAGCCCGCTCTAATGGTTTTTGAGTTAAGCCGGAAAACCATTTAATCTGTTAGCCCATTTTCAAAGGTTACAGAGTATAATAAATGAAACTAGTGTACTTATTATTCTGCTCATAGGTGTATGTGATGTACACTTAAACAGAGTCCACTGTGGGCAGAACGCCGTGTGAGTGTACGTGTGTGAGTAAGTGAGTCAGTGGGTGAGTAGGTGGAGAAACATGTTCATTAATATGGCATTTCCGTCTGACGTTCGCCATAGGCAATATACAATTCGAGCCGAACAAATCGAACAATACAAACTGCTAGACGATAATCTGTAGGTAAATATATATCATATACTGTACATACTGTCCGCACGGAAATACTCGCAAGTCAGCTGAATATTTGTTATATGGTAATCTCATGGGTATGCAAAAGTAGGAGTAAACTGCAATTTCTTGTCTCTCAGTCGGGAAGGGGCCACTGTGAGTGTACTCGTATGATTATCCATTTAATTCACATGCTAGCTGATTGAGTGGAAATGGATATGCATAGCAAAACTGTGGGTGTTACCGCCCTTGGGGAAATCTCTGACATTTGCGTACTTAAATGCATAACTCTCGATTTAACCAGCTGGAAAATTAAATATCGCACAAATTTATATGAAACAAGTCAGACTGACCAATTGGGAGATATCCTTTACTAAAACATACCCTCTACCCCACTCCGAGCTGCTTTCACAAACAGTCCATTAGATGTACATATAATTTGTCTCATTCGTCATTTCATGCAATTGGAATTTCAATATGAAAACTTTACGAAACTTAATACGTGCTAGTTCATCTACTTGCATTCTATTCACTTATTGGCAACAACAGCCGAGTCGATATAGACATGTCCGTCCGTCCGTATCCACATATGAATTCGTCGATCTTTTTTCAAGGCATCGATAACATGAAATCGATAAGAATCGATATCAACTCGAGTCACCAAATCTAGAATGTTGGCAAAATATGTGTTTCTCTTTTTGAACATCTTTCCCCTTCCCTTCAAAATTGTAACCTCTTTCGAAGTGTAGTCATCGCCTTTGCTATTTACATGAAGGTTTTGTCGGTTGTTCGATTCACGGTTTGATCGAACGTCTCGTCTAAACGTTCAGTTTGTGAACCAGCTAGGTTTTGATGAATATATTGCCCAATTGCAATGCATAAAACATGTAACATAATTTTGAAATGTATTCATTTGTGAACGAGTGCTATACACACATACATGTACATACATGTGCACATATGAATGTATCTACAACACGAATGAAATTTGCCGAGCAATATCGGATAGTTTAGAACAATACCGAGAGAAGTGAAACTTGATAATGTATGTACATATGTATGTACAAGCATTCATGTACATATTTACATGCATATGCATGTACATGTTTGGATAACAAAAAGGAATTTTCAGATATTAAAAACACGAGTTTCTTGAGCCTAAGCGATATTTTCAAAAATATTGTTTGGGTTTAGCTTCAGTAATTATTTGCGCAACTAGTTCTGTTCAAGGTTCAGCTCATAGCAGCAAAATGAACGGTATTCGAGGCTAGAACCAGTTCGGTTCAAGCCCAGTTTACAGCTTGGATTTATATACATTCGGAAGCCAAATCTCTGTCATGAAAACTTCAGGGGCATAGTGTTGGGCTAAGGAAAGAAGAAGCAGAGTCGCACAGCTTGAATAAATATATATAAATAATTAAATTTATAATAAATAGAAAAGTCACTGTTTGTAAATAGAGGTGGGTAAAATAAACTTAATATAAAAGAAATTAACAAATCCTATTGAAAATTGTAAAAAAATTGAAAATCATGATTCGAACCGACACCTGAGTACAAACTTGGGTTCATGAACCGCACATTAAGGAGAGGCGAGGTGTTCGTTTGAGCCGTGAATCGAACCATTGAACTTTTCTGATTGGTTTGTAGTGGAAATCGCAGGTTATAATAATTGCTGACATTTTTTATTGTTGGGAAAACTTTCAAAGCAGTGGATTGAATTTTCTGTAGACAAACACATGCACATGCGCATGCACATATGTATGTAGATTTTTTTATACCCTGAACCCATTAAAAATGGGTATAAGGGTACATTGTATTTGTGCGGAAGCCAAATGTATGTAACAGGCAAAAGGAAGCTTCTCCGACCCCATAAAGTATATATATATTCGTGGTCAGCATCAATAGCCGAGTCGATCTAGCCATGTCCGTCTGTCTGTCCGTCCGCCCGTCTGTCCGTATGTATGAACGCAAGGATCTCAGAACCTATAAGAGCTAGAGACATGAAATTTTAGATGTGGATGCTCCTAGTTTCCGCGCAGATCGAGTTTGTTTCCGATAATCGATAACTTACTCCGTTTCCAAGCAATCGATAAAAATCGATATCGATATCCTGTTTTTTGGGCAATTTTGGTAAATAATAAGAGCTAGAGTCACCAAACTTGACATATAGCTTCTAAAATAGAATATATATAAATGCAGTTGATGTTGGAAGAAGAGGGTTCAGGGTATCCCCTTGTCGGGAGCTCCCGACTAGAACCTCTTACTTGTTTAAATGTGAGTAAGGCAAATTGTGAATATGTTGAAATTAGCTGAGATTCTGGCGACAAGCCACACACAAATTGAACTCCATTAGTTAGGCTGACGACGATGATGATGATGATGATGGCGTTGAGGACGACGATGATGATGATGGTGATGATAATAAATCAGGAATGCACAGAAACATGGAACTTTAGCTGTCACTTTTATTGCCTTTCAGCTGCAGCTTGGCACGCCCGAGCGCCCGTATTAGCCCCCGCAGGTCCTCTCAGCTTTCAGCGTATACTCAGCGCAGCCTCGCCTTTAATTTCATTTCGACGCCCTTGCATTTGCCATACCCTGCATGCCAGCAAAATTAAAGCGCCGGCAGTCGAGACTTGTGTCAAAGTACGCGACTCACAGACGATGGAAAGCGCATTAGTGGGCGAGACCCTAGAGTTGGGAATCAAACACGTATTTTAACTGAAGTCTTAAATACGCAAAGCCAAGTCAAAGTGAGCCTAGAGTTGGGCATAAAGCACGTATTTTAACTGGAGTCCTTAATGCGCAAAATGAAGTCAGAGGGAGGCAAGAGTTGGAAATCAAACACGGTCTTTAAATGGAGCAAAATGAAGTCAGTTTAATTATGTTAAAGCATGTATTTACTATAAGAGAGCATAACAAGCATTTCGCGAACGACTCTTATAACTAGAGACAATCGAGATGGTTTTGTTTCTGTGTCGCAGTGCCAAAAAAAAGCTACTAGAGACAAATGACAGCCACTGTTAGCGAGAGTACATATGCAAAAAAGCTTATCAAAGCAAGGCCTAAAAATCATTTGTTTACATAAGTAACTCATGTTGCTTGTGCAAGATTTTGGCTCAAATTTTCATTGTTTTTCTATCCATTGAGCTGCTTGAAAATACATAGACTTAACAGTTAATTAAAGCCACGACCGAAAAATTAACCCCTGTGTACATTGGCCCATTTTAATTGACACATAATAATATACATTTCTGTTATCGTTCATCCCCAACTAAAACGAGAAAAGTTATCCATAATTTGAATCAAGCTCATGCCAAGTCTCCAGCTCTTATACTAGAGTCCGACATCAGCGAGCTCAGACAAACGAACAGACAACCTTTTTCTCACTGTGTATGGTAAGTACTTTTGGTC